CGGGTACGAGGGTCCTAGCGGGGTCCCCCCGGGATGGGGAGGGAGTGTCGGTCCCGCCTGTGTCAGCCCAGAGTTCCAGCGAGGTCCTCGGCGCGGGGAGGGGGTCAGAGGGCAGCTGTGTCCCCCTCTCTCCGGTCTGGGGGTTCAGCATTTGGCAGAGGAGTATTAGCACAGGGAGTCCGAGATCAACATCTCTTGTACCAATCTGTGTTTTTATTAGCCTCCAGCTCATGGTTTCTGCACCAAACTGTTTTCCCTTGCCCCGAGGTCCCGGCTGGTCGTTTCTGCCCTTCTTGGGAAACTTAAATGGAAGAGTTTATCCATATGGTAAACATTAATTGACTTGGCGGTGTTTGCAAACACCTACTGTGTCCCTACAGTCCTTCCCTGGGTCCTGTCTCCATCCCATGGCCTCTTAACACAGCAGGAAAAGAGCACCTGGATGGGGATTTGGGGCTGTTCCAAGTCACCTGCTCAAAAAGTGGCCTGTGGTTCTCACGCCTGTGAGCAGTGAGGCAGCAGGACACAGCCAGGAGCTGGGGAAGAGTGTGGTGTGTCAGATACTTGTTAACAAAGAGCTTTATATTCAAGATGGTTCCTCAGGATCTGTTTGTGCCCCTGAGCCCACCAGGGTGGGAGTTGTGCTCCCAGTCCACTGCTTAAATCGATTTCCCAGAGAAACTGGTGCAGCTGGAGCTGTGGGACACAGATGTGTGTGTTCCCAGTGCCCTTGGGCTGTAGAGGCAGTGATATGGAGCCTGCAGGTTCCTCCCAGCTGATATGTAGTGGAGAGAACTCCCTGGGCAGGGAACGGTGTGGCTGGAACATGTGTGGGAGGCTGAGGGAGGGCTGTGTGTGGGGTCTGACCCTCATCTCCTGCTGCTCTCTTTGCTGTCTGCTCCCTTCCAGTGTGGGATCCTGCTGGGGGCTCTGCTGCTCATCTTCTGCTCCTGGATGACTCATCAGTCCTGCATGTTCTTGGTGAAGTCAGCAAACCTCAGCAAGCGCAGGACCTACCCAGGCCTGGGTGAGACCTCCCCCCAGGGCCCTTTCCTGGGGTTTTATCCTGTCCAGTGTGACTTTGGGCTCTGGATTTACACTTCCACACTGGAGGTGTAGGAACAGCAAAGCTTTCCTTGCTGCAGTTCCAATTTCCCTCATCTTCTCTCAGCCTCTCCCCCCGGGCCAGCACAAGGGGCTGGTCCTGCTCCTGATGCCAGTTCGTGATGCTGAGCTGTTTTGACTCCGCAAGGCAGGGGAGGAGGTGCAGCACTGCCTGATCCAAGTCCCAGCTCCCAGGAGCTGTCTGGGATGAGTTAGCTGTGGCTCTGGGATGAGTGATGGGTCTGGGCACAACTCCCACCAGCACTGCTGGGACAGCAGGTCCTGCCAGGCAGGAGCTGGCACAGAGCTGAGTGCCTGGATCCCAGCTGGAACTCCTCTGGGGCTCAGCAGAGAGGAAACAGCGCAGGGTTCCAAGGGGATGAGAAAGTAAAAACAGCTGGAAGGTCTCTGGATGGGTTTGGGCAGAGCTCAGCCACCCTCTTCATTCTGAGAGTCAGAATCCCTTTGGATCCCTTTGGATTGGGACAGCAGGAGGTATTTAGGTATTTATGTCTCCTGAAACAGCAAGAAAAGACATCTTTTCCTTGTTTTCCCTTATTTTTGGGGAGAAGGGAGCTGCCTGGCACTGCCTGGTCCAGGGGCCGCAGCAGCTACTGACAGATGGGTTTGCTCTACCCTCAGAGTGCCCAAGATGCACATACTTGGATGGGTAGGGTGGAGCAGCTCCGTGGCCTGGGAGGCTGTGGTGGTGCCAGGGGGAAGGGGGAGCCCCCAGAGCCTCAGCCCAGCTCTCCTCACATCCTCTGTGTGCTGCTTCCCGGAGCACACAGAGTCCCAGCACCTTGGAGCGACTCCCGGGAGGAAGGGATCCTCTGCAGCCCCCAGCCAAGGGGCTAGAACACACAGGGAGCCGGGAATGCTGCTCTGCTTCCTCCTGGCATCAGTGCCTGTGCCCTGGCAGAGGTGCCACCGGCAGGGAGAGCCCCCGGGAGCTCTCCCGTGCCGCATCCCAATGCTCCTGGGCCGGCAACTCACACAGATCCCCTTTGTCCCCGCGGGCTGGGCATGGGGACATCTGCAGGCACTGCTGGCAGTCCCCAGGCTGTGCTGGGGGAGGTTTGGCAGTGCTGAGCCGTGGGGGAAGGTTGTGCACATTCCCTTCAGGCAGGCAGTGCCTTCCGGAGGAACACCGGGAGCGATGGCTCCAGCGCCAAGGGCAGGGCTGGAGCCTGCCAGCCCCAGGGCAGGGACTGTCCCCACCTCGGGGGTGTCTTGTCACTGTCACAGCTGCATGGAGGGGAAGGGCCTCGGGCAGAGGTGTGGGTGTGGAGGGAAGAGAGCTGCAGTTCCCAGATGGTTTTTAACCAGGACATGTGTGAATTCCTCCCTTTCCAGCTGCCCTGAGGATGGGCAGGGCCTGGCTGGACACTGGACCTGTGGCAGCTCTTGGGGAGCAGCAGCATCTGAGGGGCAGTTCCCTGAGGAGCAGTTCTCTGGGAGTCAGCTCCTGGGGGCCAGTACCTGGAGGGCAGCTTGACCCTTTCCTCTAAAGGGCTGAAGCTCTGTCTGAGTAAAACGGTTTAAAAGGCTTCTGTGATTCCTGGCCAGGCTCAGCTCTGCCCAATCTGGGCATCCAGATATTCCCACTCCAGCGATTCCACTGTGCTGTTTATTTTACAGTTGTCACCTCCTGAGGAGATCAAAGATCCAATTTTCCCAGTGTGCCCAGGTGGGACACCTGCCATGGCATTGGAGCCTTGTCCTCATTGCACATCACTCCCAAATTTCCCAGGAGTTGGGCTGTTTCCAGCATCCCCCGTGGCTGTGCCCGTGTCCGGAGGCTCCTGCCTGTGCGTACTAGAAGGACAGAGCTGTGCCACACCATTCCTCCTGAAGCTCAACCCCTTCGTGACCCATTCCAGGAGGGATGTTTGCCCCTTCCTGGCTCCTCCTTTTCCTCCCAGACCCTTTGCCTCTGGCACTGACCCCCCTAGGGCTGTAGCCTTTCCCTGATGGCTGTGAGATCCCAAGAGATGTCGGAGCGGAGCAGCCGCTCCCTGTGCCTGGGCACTGTGCCTTGTGGCAGCTGTCCCAGTACCCTGTCACCAATCCAGGGGCTATTTTGGGTGCTCCCCCACATCCCTGCTCCAGGCTGTGGGTCCCTATGGGTCCCTACCCTGCTGTTTGCTCATTCTGTGGCAGGACAAATGGTTTCCTGAATGTTTAGCTCAAGCAGAGTCCAAGGAAATCAAGAGCTGGAGTTAATATTTAAAATAGCAGAAGAAGCTTCCAGAAAGGGTTGGAGTTGGTTTGCTGGTGGCTTCCAGGAATGCTGGGCTGGGGATGAGGGAAGGCAAAGGGGACTCCAGTGTGGTTGGGGCCATGCTGGACCTCACTGGCAGATTGGGGCACTGTGGTCTGTGTTTGTGCTCTCCAATCCCACTCTGCCCAGTAAGGCCTAAAAATAGTAGCAGGGTTTTCTTGGCTTTTTCTTTTTAAGAGAAAACACAACAATTTAAGGACTTCTGAGCATTTTCTGCTCCAACCCAAGGACAGGAGGGGGGGAAAGCAGAGCCTTGGCAGCACAGCCCTTTGGTGTGGGTTGGGAGCACTGGGTATTCTGGGAATGGGATTGAACGTTCTGGGCACCAGCTCAGCTCTCCCAGCCAGCAGTGTCAGGGAGCCCAGTTTGAGGGGAGGATAAAAATAAAGAGGGGAATTGGACTGGAATTTTGCAGCACTTTAACTTTTGCCACACACAATCCTGCACAGGCACATTTTCCCTCCCGTTTCCCTTAATGGCTGCCATGTGTGGCTGCTGCTTCACACCACTTCGGGTTTAAGGGGAAAAAAAAGAACCTGCTTGCTGGCTTTCCCTCAGCTTTGTTCCTGTCTTATGTGGCTTCCAGTTTCCACAGGGAATGGCTGGAAAAGAAAGTGGGAGGGTGAGGGAAACAGCCCCAAAACCCCAGTGCTGGGTCCCTGCTTGTCACTGGTATTGTTTGCACTGAGCTCTGCCTCATTCTGAACCTTTCTTTGACTGACTTCCACATTTTTTCCTTTTTATGCCAGCATTTCATGCCTATGGAAAAGCAGGAAAAATGCTGGTGGAAACAAGGTAAATTTGCTAGTTATTCAAGGTGTGAACAGTTTGGGTTTCTGTGGTGTAAATCCTGCTCTGAGCCTCATTGCACTCTCCCTCCTTCCCCTCCTGCTTCCTCTGGGCCCA